CAGTGACGTTATATCTAAACACCAAAGATCAAACGCTATCGACATATCATCTAACACCATGGCCTGCTACTGTCAAGCCATTATGTGACACTTAGGTTCACAAAATGACTGAGAAAATATGTATAATAGAGACAATAAATAGAATTTTATTCTATATCGTTCTATATCGTTTTAAATGTATCGTTAGAATTTTTAATTCAGGGTAGAGTTTATAACTAACCTTTGTAATGTTCTTTATGTTGTAGCTATTTGAGCAAGTGCACTTGAGCACTTTTACTCTTTATAAACTCAAGGTATCTTCAAAATCCTTTTTTACGTCATGACTGGTTTATTATTTATCACTTTATCAGACTAAACAATAATTGACCTCAGATCTGCATACCTCCCCGAGGAGCCTGTAACCATTCTCTTCAGTTCAATAAGTGATCCCATTTTTTAAGAAGTAAAAATTGATTATTAAATAGGCAAGGAACTGATAATAAATTATAATTAATTTTGAACTAGTCTTTGGACACACCTTTCTGTATTTTTCAGTCGACCATACTCATGAAATGAAACATAATATTTTTAAGTTTCTAGGACTTAATACGAAATCTGGTATAGTAGATAGTAAAATGATAGCAAAAAAAAATTTTTTTTTTAATAAATACACTAAAAATGCACTTATTAAATGTTCATGCATAATGCTAATATTATTAAATATCTTATTTAAAAAGAATTATTTATTTTTAATCAAATTACAAGTTTGCTCAAAGTGCTTAATATGCTGCACTATCAAAAATCATGTGTAATTTCTATCAAACGAATGAAAAATTAGAACAAGGTTTGCTTGTTCAAAGTGTTAACTACTGAAATGTAAAGTTTTAATAATTTAATAATTTAAAATTCACGTTTATAAACGCATATATCGCATATATCGCGTATATCGCGTATATCGCGTATATCACATATATTGACAAAAAATCATAACTAAGGTATACTAAAACAGTTTGCGGCAGGCAGGCTCATTATCATGATTTGATAAATTTTTTTGTCGAGTTGCTTTGGTATAGTAGGTTTAGTAGGATGCCAATGTGTGATTTAGTATTTCAACATGTTAAGAGTCAACACAATTCCATATCGCATAAATGCGTTGCACCTCATTTCGTAGACCATTGATTTCAGTTGCAAATATCATAACGTGCCACGGCACTTACATAATAACAAAGCAACAAATAAAAAACAAATCTAAAAGATGCAGTTTTGCTGTTATTGTACGCGTACATATGACAACTGAATCGAACTGAACCGAAGTAAACTTCAGTTAGTTTAAGTAAACTTAACTGAACTAAACTAGTCTAAAAGTTGAAGTAGGTTGAATTCATTTTTCGTTTACTTAGTTTCAGATATGAAATTAAAATTCAATCAAATTGCAAAACACACGGCAACATGGCACAGGACACTGAACTATCCACTGCTACCAACAACCAATAGTGTTCCATGTGCTGAGACAGTTAGTTGCACGCAGTTAAGCTGGCACCGCAAGTTTCGGTGTTTAAAATATGCGTGCGGCATTGCATTGTGACCAGCGCGTACAGCGTTGCCTTCGAACGGCTTAGTTGGGCGGTTAATCTGGAAACGTGTTTAATGTTCAATTAACTCTAAGCAATAAAAAAATAAAATATATCCAAAAAGATTAAAAATGAGATTCAGATTTAGATCGAAACACCAAAATGTTGCTTACTTAGAAATATGCAAAATAAATTAAAATTGAAAAATTAAAAGGAAAAAAGAAAAAAAAGGAAAAAAAATATTGACTCCTTGTTCATTTGCTGCGTCGCTTTACATTTGGGCATATTTGCATTTCGACATGCGTGCCGTGCAGTAATCAGCATATCAGGCTGGTCCTACCTTTCACTTTCGTTTCGATTTTCATAAATATTTTAATACATTAACTATGTCACTAGAAGCATTTTTATTTCATTTTACGTTTTCAAAAAAAAAAACATTAAAGTCGTGTTTATTGCTATAGTTTAGTTGCAATGCGCCAAGAAATTAGTTTTTCACAGTTTTTGATTTATTTTCTGTTCAAATGGAAAAGATCCTAGTATACTATAGTCATACTAGCCTTATGACTTACTCGAACAAGCTATATGTGAATATATCGGTATATATAAAATACACCGATTTTTTTTGCTCCAGCTGATATCAAGTTTTCTTTCCCAAACCTGTAACATTCCAATATAGCCGTTTTGATTCGATTGCAGCCATAGTTCACAAATTAATGCGTAAATCTTGATTTCAAATCACTGTTGGCAGCTAAGTCAGCATAGAATTTTTTTTCTATTAAAATTTTATTTTAAGTATATATAATTGAATATAAATATATATCACACATTGCAATAAAATCATATTTGATTTAAGCTGATGTTAAAAAAAAATTGGAGTTTAACTTCAATTTATTTATTTAATGTCAACGTCCAATCAAATATGCTCCACAAAACTCTGTATGAGAACTTTTATAAAACAATTGCTAAATTGTATATATACATTTACATACACACATATAAATATATACATTTACATACACACATATAAATATATAAATTTATATATATTATATATATATATATATGGAATGAATACATTTTTTTTAAAATAAAAGTTAAAGTTTCAAGGATAAATAATATTATTTTTTCACAAATAAAATAAAAAAATATAAAACGAGTTTTTGTGTTTATAAGACATCGGCTTAGATACTGAATATCAGTGAAGTAAGATTATAAAAGTTTAATAGAGAATTGTTGAAAAAAAATAAATTTAATATGCATACATTTTTTAGTTAATATGTTATAGTAGGTATCCTTTGAAATACTGTAAACTGAAATTTTATGTGCATTCTACAAATACAATTTTTAGATAATACTAATAATAATAATAATAATAATAATAATAATAATAATAATAATAATAATACTATACAAACTTAAGTTTGAAAATATCTAATTATATATATATATACAGTCAAACTTCCATGACTCGAAGCCCAATTTTGCAAAGAAGAGGTTCGACTTATGGTGTCTTCGAGTTAGAGAATTTTTTTATTTTATTTCAATTTTGCAATAAACTAGAATTACATTTTAATATATTTATTTATTTGCTATCAAATAAAGCACAGAAGTTATAGTGAAGTAAAATATTCAGATATTAAGATTTTGGACTTTAATTTTTTTCTTATTTTCAGTAAAAAGAGATTTGACTTTTTTCGTACTCTTTTTACTATCAGTTATAGTATCATTCGTTTGCAAATATAAATTCAGAATATTGAATGAGTCTTCTATGGTATTTCATTCTTGAAAGGCTGATAAATAATTACATCCACCGAATCCTCAGCATCACTTTCCGTTGGGCTTAGAATTGGATCCAGTATGAGCAATAGAGCACAATAGTGTTCAATAATATCGTCATCTGTAGGAAAGCTTGATGTATAAATTTTATTGTCAAGCTCAATATAATCGTTAAGAGTAGCACTGGAAATTATTTTATTTACTTTAAATCACGCTGCTAGCGACTGGCATTTGCTCAAAGAAGCAGCATAAGAAAGAAAAAATTAAACAAAATTTTTGAACAAAATTTTTGTTTTAGATATCGAGAAATTAGAGTTATAGAAGTTTGAGTTATGGAAGCAGAATTGTGCGTTATTTGCTCTCTAAAACCTTGGTGCACTGTTTTTGGTTCGAGTTATAGAAAATTCGAGTTATAGAAGTTTGACTGTATTAATATTAAGATATATATTAATAAAGAATTTGCAGAACTTTTTTAAAAGAAATTTTACTCAGTAGTATTTTGAATAGTAGGCAATTACAACAACAAAAATTTATTATTTATACCCATTATCAGTGGTCTTGGAATTTTTTCTTATATTTAAATATTCTTAAATAATTTTTTTAAAACTGCAAGTACGAAGGGTTAAACTTGTGCCCTGCGAAATTTGAAGCTTAGAGTCAGTGTTAATTATCCAAGCGAAGCAAAGTCGTACTGGACTTGTATGTTTACTTACTTACTTCTTACTTAACAAATTCACTTGCTTTGATATATTAGACCGAAATCATAGCCATTTCAATTAATTAATAAATAATAAAATTTTGTTGTTGTAATTCACTACTGTTCAAGACACCTCACTATGAAAACAACAGTTTCTATTTAGTAAAATGTTTCCTTTCGTCATAGTTGACTTTTGAAATTGGTGTTTTATACACTTTAATAACTTTAATTTAATTTTTGAGTGAAATCAAATTAAAAAATTTGAGTAATGAAGTGATATTATTGTTTCAGTGATATATATCAAATAACTCTGTAACATATTATACACAAAATTTAGTTAAAGGTTAGTCATTTTACCATATGAAAATTTATACGTAACTATTAAATGACTATTTCATCCACAAAATGTAACTGGATAGTATGAATTTGATCTGAAGGTGTGATATGATCACATTTATTTTGGAATATGAAGAAAGTATGACACAAACCTTCAATTCTGAAGTTACAGCCATATGATACCTATTTTTTTACGTGAGATTAAGGATGTGGATATGAACCGTATGTGCTTTGTATAAGATAATGATAGAAGAAACACAACACGTCTGGTTTAGAGTTTATACGCTTTTATAAATTGGAAATTTTACGTTTAGGTGATGTGAATTCATCTCCAAGATAACGTGATTTACCATCATAGCTTTTTTCCATGATTACATAAAGAATCTTGACCTT